TTGCCGTTAATGCAATCCAAGTATCAATTTTACATATTCAATTTACGATTTCAAACATTTTTAACGTCGTCTATGCTATACTCGTGTAAAATAGAACTTCACACCTTAACGTTTAAGAAAATTGATACTAAGTAATGTTATTTTAAAACAGAATAGAAGTCTTTAATTCATATAACTTGATTTAGTTAATCATACAATCCTAAAATTCTTTAAACAATGTGACAATGAGTTGAGTGATATTAAAAATTAATTTCTATAAGCAACAAAGTTTGCATAACATTTTGTCAATAATTATAAAGAAATTTATATTTAATTTACACAATAATAATAATAGTAGAAAATTCCGTAAACTCTGAAATAATCTAAGATGACGTTGCAACGTGGAATAACATCCAATTGTTTTAAATATACAAAGTCATCCGCACTGTATTCTTAAAATAAATAATTTTATCAAATTTGTATCGTGATCATCAAACAGTTTAATTAAAAGTCATAATGTGTTAGCCGCTATAATAGCTTATGCTAAGTATAGATTTAGTATTTTTAACTAAATGTCCAGGCTAGATTGTATAGGGAAATCCTAAGATGGTTATAGACGCTGCCATCGTATTAACATAAGACTATTTGAAGATTCAATAGCCCTTGATATGGAATCGTATAGTCCATGTCCCAGCCACAACTGATTCAACTGCCTGTACTTTTCATGACACAGCCGAAGTGGATTTCCCCTTCGTAGACCTTGATCCGTTTCTCCGTACTCGTCGAAATATGGTGGACAGGCGAATGATCCTCGTATCGGACTTCTCAGGAAAAGTATTTCACATTTTCGTATCCGCAAAAATATTCCGACTCCCGCACCACACGTACTCGTGTGATATGTACACGCACCGACCGTCATCTTGTTCAGTTCGTTTTGGCAACAGTAACTTTGAGAACATAACATTTCTCCACAAACCAGGCACATCGTTGGATTCTTCAAGTGCTCTTGTTCGCTGTTGGAACATGTGAATGACGATGTCATATTTATCAATTCACTATAATCTTCTGGAAGCTCGACCAATTTGTTAACTTTCAAAGGTTCTTTATATACTATGATTGCACTAGCACCAGCCAAATGCATCTGAACAATGGGATGACTTTTCCAAACATTTATCAATTTCATAATTACATCTAAATTTGGCTTCACTAATTCATCACATGTCGTCGGTAGACCCAAATACGCACAGATGTTTTCGTACGTGGCTCCTTCTACTTTAGTTAATTCCTCCGGAGCCGGAACATCGGTCACATAATGAAAATAGAGAGCGCAACATCTAAGGAAAGGCATACAAGCTTCCTTGACTCTTCGCCATATTTCAGATACTGTCTGCGTGTCGATATTAACGTTTAAAGCTTGAACCAGCAGGAGTATGGATTCTGCAGATCTCTCAGTCATTTCTTGTCCCTCTGTGTCCATTCCTTCATTGAAGTCTGATGTTAATAATATTTTTACTATAAGAGACAGGAATACAAGTTGCAACGCGTAGAAGTCACACATTCCGCCTGTAATGATTTGTGGCGGTGTATCATTTTGATTGAAAAGCGTTGGTACTGAATTGATTAAAGGAACGAGTATTCCAAATGAATCCCAATCTAAAATGCTTGCTGAATCGTGTGGATTCTTGATTAATAACGTTAAATAGGAAATAGCATGATTCCTAATATTATCTTTGTTTGCCCATGTCAAGTTTGTACCGCTGTTAGTTGTACACGCGGATCCTAGAATAGCCGAAATTCTAGCAAGACCTTCCAAACTATCCCTTTGTCTAGATGATAAAGCACCCAATAATGGTTTATCCATGTCGCGTAGGATAAATTCTATGGCATGAATTGTGTATGCTGTTGATTTCCATACTGATAACGGGACTGTGGGATCATTTTCACGCGGTTCTGTTCCACAACCTACTGTGTATGTTGCCTGTGCGAAAAGATGTATCATCGATACCAGATTTTCAGAAATAATTGGTCCAGGATGACCATAAGTTGATGTTAAAGTTCCGACTACCGGATCACCAAGCATATTAGAAGGATTTACAGAACTAAGATTTGATCCTTGCTCCAAAGAACTATCTTCTTCCATAGTCTGATTATCTTGAGATTCAGTGTACAATTCACCGTCCACCCATGTGCTAAAGTCAAGCTGCGGCTGATTTTGAGGTGTCGGTTGTAATATTCCCAACGGTGGTAGGAGTGGTAAAACAGTATTACTAAGACACTCGCAAAGTGGACAAAGATATTCATGTTTCTCCACATCGAAGCTTGCAGGCTGCCGTAAACGGAACGGTCTTCTATTCTCTTTAGCAAGAACATTGTTAAAGTACTTCTGCCAACAATTTACATGCATTACGTGACCACACGTGCCAGTATGTGGTGATGCACCTAATTTTGAGGAAAGGTACAATGGATTAGGTTCGTTAGGTGATGTGCCTCTGTATTGACATAACACTGTAGACTGTTGTACACACGCAGCCAGTACCATTGCTGGACCAGATGCGGTTACGGTTTGATTTTCCTGGCATAAGATGCAAGTGTAAGTTTTCTCTTCGCACATTCTTGCTGTTTGTTCTATACCAACAGCGATAGGTGTTTTTTGGAAACATTCATTCAGGTCTATAGTCGAACCTCGATCATTAGACTTATTAGCATCTATATCAGCTTCCTCGAACAACTCAGCGTTTTTCTTCATAAAATGTTTCTGCATAGCAGCCATCTGTGCCATTATTTTTGCACGTTTCTGAGCTGCCATTTTTGTTCTCCATTCTTTGTCATTTGTATTACTTTTAGCATAGCTCGTAGGTCCTGTTTGAACTACGATCGGTGTATTACTATCCTCTACAGTATTACCAGCGACTTCTCTGTATTTTAATAAGACCCACATCAATAAATCTTTGTGTGTTTCTATGCTCGGGCTGATGTAGAGATCTTCTAATAATTTAAAGATATTCCATTTCGCAGCCCTGGCAGTAAATGTGAGAAAAGGATAGTAACCCGACTCTTGTTCTTGAAGAGCATAACCAATAAGATGTAAAACTTTTTGCACTAGCGGCTCTGAGAAAAAGAACAGTTCACAATTAAGTGTTCTATCCAGTACAGTTTTCATAATATGTAACATAACGTCGCATTGCAGTAAATTAGTTACTAAACTAAACAGTTCTGTCAATCTAGGAAGCTTCGGAGGTGGACAACATTCTAATTCTCCAAGAGCTTTCCTTCGTTTTCGCTGTACTTCTTCAGATTTGCTTAATTCTTCCTTTGTATAATGGTAGAAAAAAATATTATATTCCGAGTAAAATTCTGGTTTCAACTGATATACTCCTTTTCCTCCCGATGCTTGAGAAGGTTTTTTGAAATCTGCAACTTCATGGATTACTTGTTCCATTCCCATTTCTACGTTTGGATCATCTGGCAATGCCTTACTAAGCTCTGAATGAGAAAGTGGTTTAATACACAATTGTTGTATTATATCTTTCTTCAAGCGATCATCAGCGGTGACTTGTCCAACTCCGGGTACATATCTTTCTCCAATTATTGTTATGAGAAGTCCCAGAAATTCTTCGATTAAACTTAATTCATCTTGATCTAATGTGGCATGGCTAAAATCTGGATTTGCCCAATACAATAGATCATATTTGTTTAGAACGTGAATTAAAAACTCATTGCTCTCTATCAATGATGCTCCAGCTTGAAGTAAAATAATGTCTGTGTCTAACATTTCTGAGCGACATTTTACATTGTGATAGAAGTACAATTGATTTACTAAAGAATATCCATTTCTTCTCCACATACCAGCATGTGCCTGCGAAATCATTACTTGAGCAGCCAACACAGGTTCAATAATTTCTTCCGGTGTTGGTTTTGCTTGATTAATAAAATCATCGCATTGAAAGTGTAGATTATGCTGTTCGAGGTACAGGAAAAGACCAGCTAAAAATCTGGATAGAGGAAGGTGTATAGACACCGGTTCAGATGAGACATCATATTGAATACAAGTCGCACTGTGATCTGCTAATTCTCTCACTTGCGTTGGACGATACTCAAGCCCGGCTTGTTTGCTTAATCTTCTCAAAACCATTCTGAAAGCTTTTATTAGGACAAATCGATCTGAACCACACCATTGTAGAGCAAGTGTCATAACTGGAGATAGTCTGACATGTAAATTAAAAGCAGATTCCCACTCTGGTTCATATTCCACGTGTTGACCAACTTGCCTGACCACTGCATCCATGCATTGCATACTACAAAGTAAAGTCAGTAAGAGCGAAAGTCCTTGTAAGAATCCTTCCCTCAATTCGTATGTCCAAACAGTTGGTTTAGTACTTAGTAAGTATCGTAAATCATGAAGGATTTGTTGAGCTCTTCTGAACGAAGAATGCGGAGGATCTCTTTCAAATTCCAACTTTCCTGCTTCGTTACATTTTCGGGAGCTTTCAGAAATAAATGTATTCAACAAGATAAATAACACATTATGATGTGCAATAAGGTAATGCGCCAGCGTTGGAACAGTAAATAATTGCACTGAAAGCGAAACAATAGAAAATGGATGATCATGATCATCTCTGATGAAATCCTGCATAACGCATCCATAATTATTAGTGAAGACAATTGCTAAAGCTTTCTTGCTTTCGTACTGCATAAGCATTCCAGACATAAATAATCTGTGCCAGGCTGTTCTAGCAGATTTCCACAGCTCTGAATCTCTCATAAGCATACCTTCTACAACAGAAATATCTGGTAATTTTGTATTTAGTGCAACATTACTAAAAAGCACTCTGAAACCTTCACAGAGACTTATAAATTGTTGCAACCAATTTAAAAGTTTCATAGCAAATGTTTGATGAGCAATTACGTGAGCATGAACTACAAGAACTTTTAATGCTCTGCTGCTATGCCTTTGAGTAAATTTTTCAATATCAAACTTTAAATCCTCACAAACTTTAAACCTAGAACACTTCACAACAGCTCTACCTTCTCTATCGACATTTGTTACAAATTCTACCGCATCTTTTTGTGGGCATTTCATAACACGTTGAAGTGTAGTGATTACCTGATCAAATGTATGTGTTTCATTATTAAATAGAACTGTACAATAAGAATCCAAAGAAGATGAAAGCGACAAAGGATCTTCTTCATTCTCTTTGATTTGTAATTCAGGAGGTACGCTTGTGTGCTCTAATGATAACATTTCATAGCAGTATCTCAGAACCGCTTCGAAAGTTACAACCGCTCTTTCTGCAACATCGCCGGGCAATTTGTTTCCACAAGATTCTTTAGCTTGATTTCCAGCTAAATGTATATTACAAAATGGTTCGCTCTTCCAAGCTTCTGTGTCGCCACAGTCACAACATCCTCCGCCACTCGATGTGCCCATTTTGTATTTATGATTACGATGAGCCGATTGTTTGAAACAATCCACGCACAAAACACAAGTCAGATCCATACAGCATTCTCTACAACTGTATGTAGGCTCTCCCATCTTGAATACTTTACCGCATATATTGTTATCTGTTTGACTTAGCTGCTTCAAAGCAATTTGTGGGTCTCCATTGCAAATGAATTCTTCTAGCGTATAGTATAATACTTTCTGTGCTGTTTCTTCGTCAAAACTCCAATCCAAACAATCGCTGTTTGGTTTCGGGCTATAGATTTTTGGAACCCAGTTCCTCCAGTGTTCTTTAAAGTGAGTACCTGACAGTATTCCTTTACTCATTTTCTCCATCCATGTGCTAACACATGGTTGGCTATAAGTCGGTGGTTCATTAACCATGATGGTAAGTTTAATTTTTCAAAATAATGTGCACTGAAATAATGAACATTAGAAATTAAACTTTGAGACATTTAGACGTTTTGATTATTAGATATTCTACTACGCTACTTAACTATTGTCAACAAACTATTCAAGAAACTTTTCTACAAAGAATATAATTTATTATATTAAATATTTATTTGCATTTTAATAGAGACATGTTTACAATATCCACCATGTATTATACATTTATCAGCAAGGAATATAAAAAAAATTCCAACAGAACGTTATACTTTTGTTTAATCTTTAAACATTGATAATGTTTCCTGACTTATATTATCATATAGATTTCTTCTGTAAACATAGATGTTTAATAAAGGGCCATTTATACTAACCACAATAATACACAGGTTCAACACAGTTTTCAATTTAACGGACCAACGGAAGGCAAATGCAAATCGCTATACTTCTTACATTGTTGTTTAATCTAATGCGTAAATGTAAGGTATGCCAGAACCATCGGTAGAATTTTACTGCACAAAAGCCTTCAGTTCGCTTTGAGTGTACGCTTTTATACGGTGTCTTTTATTTCACGCATATTTCCTTGATTCTTTCTCGATCATAATCTGCAAATAATAAATTACGAAAAAATTCGTGAGAAACAATGTATATGCGTGACGCACGATCATAATATTTTTCACTTTCAACAAAGCACGTTGGTAACTGCGTATATTCGCGAATATTTCGCGGACCATAAAGTAGAATATTAAAAATGACGTTTCAAGTACCAGGAAGCAGATTCGAGGGTGTCGTAAGAGATAGAAATTATAAACGTTACATTACGAAACTTGATATCTTATACAGATCGAATAACATTTCGATTTGAAAAACTATTTCATAAGTGCGACAGAGCTTTCACTAAACCGAACTATTTTTAACTTCCTCGGAAGACGATACTTACTATTATGACGACCAGGCCAAGGTTAATAAAAGATATTGAAAAGTTCTTTGTTTCACAAAATTTGTGGGTGATTCTTGATTACGTATGTAACAATGATAAAATCGAGGTTTCCTTCGATGATCGCAGGTGTGCATCAGAGATGCGTATATCCGAAAACAGCAATCAGCCAAGTTTTGAAATTTCAGGAACGAAATGATAAGTAATATTTTTGCACAGCTGCTTCAACAATGCACAAAATGGCTTATGAAGTTTAGAGTCTAAAACCATATGCATATTAGACGTGTTTTTCTGTTGATATCCGCTTTTGATTGCAGCGCCAAAACGATTAGTTCGAAACGTCGGACATTTACAAAAGTCGAAAAATAAATAAATTCAATTGTACCGTATACGTTTGCATTTAGACGAGGTATGTACACGAATTCAGAATATATTTTCAAATAATAAGTTACAAGTAAATATATTCGATTAATAGTCGAACATTTATTTATGTATTATGTAATTAAAATCAAATATATACACACGTAATTTGTATTATACATATAATTTTAAAAGATACACATAAGTGAAAAATGTCACAGACTTATTTCTACCGTTAATGGAAAGTTTATTGTTCGCTTAAAATATTGTAAATTCTCTTTCTATAGCAACAAAATATTGTTTTCTTAACAAAGTAAAATTTAATTTGTAATATGTTGCATATTTTTCAGTCTCTTGGGAGTTTTAGGAATGAATTGGTGCTCATGGTTTAGGGTTATTCAGCCCATGGTTAGGGTGGAAATCCATTGGCGTCGTCCAATCCCATTTATGATGGGTAATTCTCCCACTCTTACATTTCTGGCAGAAAGTCGCGTAAAGTGGTCATGATGCTGGGAGGTCTACGTTATGAAACTACAAAATTTTGTTAATTCGGTCAGGCAATCAATATTCTACTGTACGGGAGCAACGAATAATTTCGCAATTTTCAATGATTTTAACTTTTAAAAATTTGACAAACAAACATTTCTATTCTCTTTAATAATTACTTGCAAAAAAATTCTCGAACTCAGAGACTTAGAAAATTAGAGTCAAGAATTATTGAAGAGTGGAACCATTTATTGGCGATAGATTAAAAAAAACTATGTGAAACAATTTCAAAACGTCTAGTAGAAATTTTGATCCACAATCTGCACAAAAGTTGCACGCTTTTTTTACTCCCTAAGCCGGCGCACATTTCCCTAGCACTTCGCTGCGCATCCAATCCGCAATGGATCCTGTCTCAGCGGTGAATCATCGGCCAATCAAAGCGAAGAAAAATTTCTATACTGACCTTGGCTAACGGATCAAGCTGCGACCTGAAGACTATGCGACATTACTGTACATAAATAAGGCACATAAGCTTACATACCAAAGGTGTATGTCACCAATAATAATGCAGATTTTCTCACCATAAATTGTGCCACTAGTTTAGTAATATAATTTTAATAAGTTGCCTACGGTGATTTACCAGTAGGGATTCTGTTGGCAAAAAACTTGTCGGAACCTGTCCTTTTCAGTTCATAACGTTGTTATATGAGCACGTGGTTAAAAGTCTAATTGCTGATTTTCAAGCTAAATAAGAACACATTCACGTAAGTAAACACGTATAATTTTACAGTAATCTATAATGTTTATAGGCATAATGAAAAGATGTATTTATCTGTCTTAAATTTTTTTATACTCGCACATATCCATACGGCTTCTGGTTACGCAGTGGTCTATTAACACTGTATTACTTCCGAACGAAGAATGCACGAAATAATGTTTATATTATGTTATTGCAGTATTATATTATTTTTTTATGCGAATTATAATATAATACGCGAAACTGTTCCAATTGTAAACAGTTCTCAAATCTTCTATATTATTATATTGTATTTGCATTCTGTCATTTCTTACTACTTCTAATGTTTTCACGTTAATTTTTCTTGGATTATATTACTTACAATTTATAACATTCCTAATTTTCTTCTCGTCTATAACAAACAATTCAATTTATATATGAACTTCTTAAGTCGATACAATATTATGGATCAATTAACTATAATCACATTTTAACGTGCATCGATCATTATCTTCTTCAAGTCAAATATACCTCCAAAGCTGAATACTTAAAATTGAATATTGTTTTGTTAATTTCCACAGAATGCCTCTCGCTAAAGATTTCCTGCATCCAAGTCCGGCGGAAGAAAAGAAGAAACACAAGTTGAAGAGACTCGTGCAAAAACCAAACAGCTATTTTATGGACGTTAAATGTCCTGGATGTTACGCCATTAAAACCATCTTCTCGCATGCACAAATATCGGTAGAGTGTGACGGTTGTCGCACGATACTGTGCAGATCGACCGGTGGAAAAGCGCGATTAACCGAAGGATGTTCCTTCAGAAGAAAGGTCCAGTGCTAATATAACAATGGTAAAGACATCATAATGTATACATTTATCTTTATATTCAAGAAATAAACACAATTACTGAATATTTATTGTTTTCCATCATATTGTAACCCTGTCGTTATCTTTATTGCATAATCTTATGTAAGGAAAGAACTTCGATTTCTACATTATAAAATTAAAAAGTGCATTTTTATATTCTTAAATACACAATGAATGTACAAATAACATCAACGTATTTTGTCTTTATTTCAATTTTACATTCAGGTTCTCTATGATAAATTTAACAATATCTCTTAAATTTGTCTGTTTATGATAATATATAAACAAATGGTTTGGGTAACTTTCAATGAGATAAATAATATCCACAATACATAATTTTACGTTAAACAAATTATCGGACATTATGATTGGGGAATGTGATAATTTGAATAAATTTAATTTTAAACGACTTGATTTGCTACTTATGCATGCAAAATTGCATTATATGCTTGGAATATGCCTGCTGCGACTTCCACGGAACGTGATTTCAGAGATAACTGCAATAAAGAAAATTAATTAAATACATTGGAAAATAATAATAATAATAGATATTGAATTGAAATTCAAGCTTACAGTAACATCAGGATTTCCCGGCTGAATTTTCAATTCATTTAATACCCAAACATTGTTTGTCAATTTAAGCGATTGGTACAACATATCTTGACCTTCTACGTTTCTCTTGGCTATTGTAAATACGTTATTCTGTTGCATTTTTTGGACAACTTGATCTGCCGTCAACATTACCCCCTTTAATGTGTACTGAACCTGCGTGAATTTTATAAATTATATCACATGATGCTTGATAATAAATTGAATTGTAATTTTTGAGATAACAATAAATACCTCATTTTGGGCAGGTATATCTTTCCATGTACTAAGAAACACTCTTTTATCCAATTGTCCATCTTCCGTGAAATATGCATTCATAGGTACAATACAAGCAAAATAAAATATATCGATGTTATTCTTTATTGCAACTTGAAGATTATTCAATGGTTCCATGCGTTGCACTGCACCGGCTGTAGATAAGATTATATTAGTATCTACGCTGGCACCAGGATTTAAAGGACTCGGTACTTGAAGCGGTGCAGCAGGTGTTAAACCGAAACTATTTTTATTCAATTGTATTGCAAAACCTCCCATTGGTTGCATTGCTTTATTCGTAAATGTCATATCCATGCTAATCTGCCCGTTCCTGTTTGAAAGAATACATTATCTTGAAGATATCTTAATTTATGTAGCTTATAATGCGGTTTAAATTCTGGTCTCGAGAGAAAAAAAGAAGCTCGATTCTACTTACTTTCTTGAGAATGTTCCCCATATGTCGAGTCCTTTGCCTTTTTCTGCGGGTAACCAATTAACTTTAGGTAGTATGTAGGAAGTAGGTCCTTGATTAAAACCAAATATGTCACCGAGAAGCCCGGTTGTACTTTGTGACACTACTGGGGCATTATTTGTCGTTTCGGTAGCACCCAAAATTCCATCCAGAACGCCTCCTAATAAGTCCAAACCTGCTTGAGGAGTTGGCGTTGAGCTAACCATGGATGGTCCACCTGTAAAAGATAATATATGGTACGGTTAACAAAATCAATAAAAATATCAACGAAACAATTAAAAAAATACTCACCAATATCCATACTGAGCAGGTCACCTATTAAAGAATCCTGAGCAGGAATAACTTGAGCATGAAGCTGTGCTGCGTGTTGTCCTGAATCTTCGTTCGAATTGCTTCTAGCTGGTAATGATTTTCTAGCACCAGCCGATCTACCCTCAACAAAGGCAGTAGGTGGTTTATGATACACCGATGCTAAGCTTGAAATATGGCATATTAACTCGTCTAATAATGTTGGTTCTAACAGATCTGTTTCTTCCGAGATTAGTGGTTTCTCAGCAAGCACAACTTCCTTGGCAGCTGCTGGATCAGTACTGAGTAACCGCCAGTAGATAAATCCTCTGTCTCTCAAATCTGGATTATCAGAATCTTGTGTCGCTAAACTAAGAACTTGTTGAACCAATTCTTGGGTGCCCGTAGGTTTCTTAAGGAACAGTTTAACAATCGCTGTAAGTAATTGCAACTGTACTTGCGTATTCTCGTCGTGAAATCCTTCCAAGAAGCTATCAAGAAGTTCATCTGCGTTGTCGATTCGATCTGCGTATTCCCCAATGATCCATATCATAGAAGCACGTGCTTCTGGTTCATCTAACGTGTCCAAATTTTCGCAAAGTGTCGATATGATGCTTTCATATTTATTTGGGTATTTTCGGAAAATGTCTTTTATAACAACAATTGCTTCTTGCACGACATAATTTACTTTCGTCTGAATTAAATCGAGCAGCGTTGCGACGCATCGTTCAGCAGAAGGTTCAACCTTGATCGCGCAACGACCGATAGCCCTTACAGCTTTACGTACAAAGTCTACGTCAACTTCGGTAGCATACTCCTTCAATTCAGATAAAACCTGGGCTATGTTAGCTTGAGATGCTAAGCGAATCATGATGTCCAACTTCTCAAGTTTCACGTAAATTGGATCGTTGTATTTGACAAAGAAAACCTTCATCTCGTGCTTCAAAATGTCTGGCCGTTTTTGTACAATAAGATTTATATTTCTTAATGCTACGTATTGAACTTCCGGTTCAGAGCTAAGTAACGTTACAAGTGGTGGCGCTAATTTCTTAGTTAAAGTGCCAACAAAGTCGGATTCTGATTGTAGCATTTCCATTAATTTCATTAATACCTGAATTAGAAAAAAAGATTCGATTTTTAAATTTATAACAAAAATGATACAAGAATATGTAAAAAAAACGAAGTTATATTTGATACACAACCTTAACAGCGGATAGAACAACTGCAGCATTAGCATGAGCTAAACGTGGAGTGATTCGTTCGCAGATACTTTGCGCTTCTCGCTCATCTTTTGGTGAATAATTTGCTAGCGAATCCAAAATGAAAACTTGTCCCCATTCTGTACATTCGTTGAGAGCTGTCAATAATTTGTTAATGGTCTGCGCATTCATTTCAACTAAAGGCTGACCGCTTGGACTTGCTTCATTGATCTCGGAAAGAGCAGCTACTGCGTTTGCAACAACCTAATGCAATAAAAATAAAAAACGAAATGGATAAGTATATATTTCACATTACACGTAGCTGACATGAAAATTTAAAGATATTTATATTTACCATGGGATTGCTGTCCGAGAGAAGATCTTTTAACTGATCCAAAAACCCTTGATCCTCGACTAAAGCTGCATTAATATCATAAAGCTTGGCCACGCATACAGCTGCGGTCTTACGGACATATGGATCCTCATCCTTCAGGCATTTTCGCAGTGGCTCACAGAGGTACTCTGTAATCTTGTCCACGCGTATACATCCCATTGTGCGAACTGCTAACGCGCGAATCAGTGGATTTGGGTCCTCGCAATCCTGCGCAAAAATCGGGCAAGCCAGGGATTCAAGTCTAGTCACAGCAGTGGCTATGTATCTCAACCCATGAATTTTAACGAAGTAGAAAGTGGTATGGTACCTTTATCATCGGAGATGTCGCTTGCTCCTTTTGCGTGTCAGAACGAAAAAGGTCAAATTGGTCACCGTCACCATTTTGATTAATGATTAAATATTATACTTATCAACCATTTAATGTTATGTGATGCAGAACTGATTATTTTTTAAAGAGCACGAGAGTTTTCCTTTTAATTTCTCAATTCATACTTGTATTGTTTCTCATGATAATTTACAAATGAAAATCAAGTTACAAGTTTCACATTAAATTCAGTATCATGCACATAAAAATATGTTACATGTTATCTATTTAAACAGTAAAAAATGTACATCTATAAATATGTTTATGATAATCGCATTGAGAAATATTAATTTGAACATTGATTACACTTATTAATTAACATTAAAGTTCTGAGAAAAATAAAACACTTTGCGTGCAGATAGTGTAAATATGCACTGCATACAAGCAGCAATTTATTGTATAATGCAGTCATACATATATGAAATGAACATTTAAGGAATTGGTTTGTTCATGCTGTTTACACGTTAGACACTATGATTAAGGAATAAATCTTTTCTACTGCCGAGGCTCTTTCAAATATATTCTATTAAGGACCAATTTATACCTTTATTTTTACCATAGATATCTGCATCGTTATTGTACATATTTCTACAAGCTTTTTAATCGTAGGTATGTAATATTTCCTATGACTTGTAGAAAAAGTTTCATGCTCCATTTTGAAAAATATACTAGTGCATTAATATTAAGGTACTAACACATATATCATCGAGTTCTTTACACGCTTCCTTAATTATTCTGCTAAATGTTACAGCTGTCATAATTCCATTCCTATTTCTGATGCTGAATTAAACTAAAAAGAGATACTGGAATTTGGTGATAACAACAGAATAAAATGATAACAGATTAACGAAAACTATATTAATAAATTAGTTCATAATATTAAATATGGGACAACACGAATTATACTTTATTTAGCCAAATTCCAGTCTCGTGCCCTTTGAAAAATAAGCAGTTCATTTAGAGAGAACAAAAGGTACATTCCGTCTCAGAACGCAGACAGCTCTGTGCAAACTGATGTAATTTGCAAAGCACGGTCTGTACATGATGTGAGGCAGGCTGTAAAATTAATATGGAATTTATTTAAACAAAAAACATGTAACTTAAGGAAATTTCTACGAAAACTTTTTCCAGCTTGCCTCCTTGCAGACAGAGATTCTCAACATCATCCAAGTGTTATTAAAATATATAGAGGGTAAAGGTGCATTAATAAAACATGATAAGCATTTATTAAGCTTCTATGTTACATTACCTTGACGAATGTGTTGACAGCCATGATGGCCATGTCTGGTTGACTTTTGGCATAATTCATCAGGTACAAATACACCAGCTTCTTCAGTTCCAAATTGTCTGTCTGCATACAGTTGACTACATCCGGGAAAAGCGCTGATACATCTTTGCCCACGGTCATGGAAGCGATCACCTGAACATAATTAATATTACCCCAAGTTTATTAATAATTGATGAATTTACTCTGTTAAACACAAAGATCATAATTATAGCAGTAGTAATAATGATAACGCCGACAATAACTATCAAATATGAAAATAATGATGGTATTATTAATTCAAAAAAATAGTAATTAGTAATTTTGCATTATACAATTAATATCGATAAAATGAGTTACATAAAAAATTTACAAAACATATATAGTTAATAAACTTGAATTATCAAATTTTAATGAACGGTTTCTAATCATCTTTTCATTTGCGTAGCATGAAATAAATTTACCGATTCGATGTTTCCGAATTTACATCGGTAGCGACGATATTGCAATTGAAGTAGTTATATTAGAGATCGGACATATTAATTTAAAAGGTGTTAAGAAAACTTGCAATATTATTTCCATGGCTTACCTCATTTAGCAAAGTATATATTACCTTTTAGCCGCACGAGACTGCTTATTAAATATTAATGAAATGCTTGTATAAGAATGAATACAATGGAACCAATTATAAATTACTACACTGTTATCGCATGCTTAACATATACTACTTGAAACACTTTATTAATACAAAAATTAGGATACCTTTTTCACAGCTTCCTTCTTTTTCTCCTTCTTCTCATTATTTAATTCTGACTTAAGTTCAAATATTTCACCCTTTTTTGTCGTGGTAAAATACTTTGAATCTGTCATTTTGAATTACTTTACAAATTCGTAACGCAAGAGATCAAGTATACAATCTGAAAAAAAGGGAGAACTACATATTGTGACTGCAATAGTGTAGCAAAATTAAATAAGGTTTCAATATAGCAAACCATGATTGGATCAATGTTCAACATATATAGTATCATTCTACTAACTCTAACCGGATTGTGAAACATCAGGATAAATTGCTATATCGTAATAACAAATAAAAATGTCTTCGAAGATCTTACGTGTAAGAAAGGATAGATTTGATTAGAATATAAATATGATCGAAATGTACAGTCGAAAAAGTCAATATGTACACACTTTTTACATACTGACTGTAGAATTATGGTCTCACTTTCTAAAATTTACTAGAGTCGAGAAGGCAAAACGGTAATACAATTTGCAAGTACCTCAATTGCAAGTACCTCAATAGTGTGAAAGAATGAACAATTGTAAAAAAATTATTGGTTGACAGAACATTGACAGCTCCTCAAGCAAAACGCCCCTCAACCATGGACTAAAGACTAAAGACTAACACTCTGAACCATTCCAATGGATCTATACATATATATCCGCCAATCCAGCTTATGTTAATCTGTATGTATGGGTGTATGTTATATATGCCTCCATCCAGTCCAATCGGGGTGGGATAGGGAATCCCTAGGGTGAAAAGAAAATTTTACTCAAAGCCATAAAATACAAAGTACCTAGTCTGGCACTGTTTAGCTGTGAAGCATCAATCAATCAGATTTCTCTACTGTCTTCGTGCTATTAAGCTGTTTGCCCCGGCTCTCACTGAAGTGGAATTATACTCAACCAATCAGAGGACAAGCAGTTTCTCAAACTGCTTCATAATTCTAAGCCGGTTGCCCCGCACGGACTTACTGTGATATTTCGAGGATTTCAATGTTGGTAAGACTGAATCAATCTACCGACGTCACTTCGCACGTTAGAAGCGAATGAAGGGAATTGAGTGTAGTAACCCGTACTTTTGCTTATGTTTGTTGTCTTCTATTGAAAGAGTGAAATACAATTTAGAACGTGTATTATTGAAAAACGTGTGCACACGAATAGAAATAGAAATTAGAAATGACTAATTCGAAGTAAACTAACAAGAAACAAAGTGTTTAAAATACTGTATTATTTTCACGAATGGCGGTTAAAAGAGCACAACGGCACACACGTGCATCGCTGAAAAAGTCTGCGAAACACATATTTGAAAATAAAAAACGACAGAAAGTTGCGAACAGGGAAGACACCGAAAGCAGGAAAACACTCATTATCGCTCAAGAAATCAGATTCGCTCGGTTATTGTCGAGTAACGATAAAAGAGTTCGAGATAAAATACTTAAAAATTTGAGGAAATGGTTGACAGTTCGGTCAAAAAGTTCATTTGGTAAGTTGAATGAAATTGATTGAATTCATTTAGTTTTAATAATAGAAACAAATTTGTGTATATTGTGCAAAGTATAACTGATCACTTTCTAGCAAACAGAATTAATATGCTGTGTAATAAATAATCTTCAGAGGTTCATATGAATTCTCATTTTTGTAGATCGAAGTGATATTCTAATTTACAATTTTGAAAAAGAAACGATTTTCGTTTAAAATTGTAATTATTTGAAGAGCATATACCACTTCTCTTTGTTTTAATTTTGTTAAGACATAACATAACTAGTATAATATTTATTATTTTTTGCTTAAAAAAAAATTAATTTATAAATATAAATGTATG